GCCGGACAGATTTGGGCCGGGCAGAGTTGTGCCGGACAGATTTGGGCCGGGCAGAGTTGTGCCGGACAGATTTGGACCGGGCAGAGTTTGGACTGAGTGTGTGCCACCCCGGACCGTACAGAAATTGCTCGGCCGGGAAGCGACCGGTCAGACCGGGATGTTCGGTCCGAGGATGGTCGAAGCCAGGCATGCTGAGAGACCGGCGCCCGGAAAGGCGCGGTCAGCCGAGGTAGTTGATTGACCGGCAGGAAGGCCAACCAAAGGTGGTGCCCGGGCTAGGCTTTGCCGAGATGCCGCCTAGCCCGGTCATCCACGTGTTTGTCCGGCTGGGCGCATGAGTATGAAGCATGACATGGCCGAGGAAGAGCAGCTCGGCTGCCGAGCTCCAGCTGCGAAGTCAGGCAGTTGAGGTTAGGTGGTGAATGGCATGGTTTATGCTGACAGATGGGATAGTAGAGCCACGTGTCAGGAGATGACTGGGAGTGGGTATGGGGCTCAGAAGGTATATAAGCATGTCTGCGCCCCCATACGGAACACACGAACACATCTGTAAGGATTTCTTACACTCAAACACTCTCTCCCTTCTCTCTATTCCCTCTAAGGTGTGTGCTAATTTGACCGTCGGAGGGTGTTTCCGGCCACACACCGCCGGGTAGCTCACCGTTATTTGCTCGCAGGTGATCGGATATCGACGGAGCTCGGAAGAAAGGAATACGGGCACGCCGGAATATTTGCTCCCCGTACACTATGCCTTAGTGTCTGACCGTCATGTGGGATCACTCTTGTACTTGGGTGGATCTAGCCCTCTTAGAGATGCATGACATCGATTGATTACTTTTAAATCAAAATACAATAATTACTCTCAAATCAAAATATTATAATCGGAGATGGGAGGGGAGGAGAGCTTTTTGATCTAGCAATTTTTAATTAATAATTATTTTTAGTTTAATGAGCAAAATACTAAAGATTTCAAGGTAGATAGATGGGGGTTCAAAGTCATTTAGCACAAGATTGCTTTAAAATGACAAAATCCTATTGATAGTCAATGGATAAGACTTTGGATCAAGACAAATATACAATGAGGTTGTAGAATATTAATGCTATAATATTAGTGAGAGTTTATCTTGAAGTAAATCTTAATTTTGTTAAAAATTGAAATGACTTCAGATCTCATGAAGCCAATCAAATCAGCCATATATATCTAGAGCTCAATTTTGTCTCATTTTTGAGAAGTAGACATTAATATTTAGCTAGGAAAAGCCATTTAATATTAGCTCCTAATGAAAGTGACAACTGGTAGAACTATCACATCAATGGTATTACTATAAACAACAATGCTTGGTATTATAATAAAAGCTGGTTCTTTTGTTTTTTGCGAATCACTCGTAAATGAGATGACAAAGGTCTAAGAACTTTTTTTAAAAAAATGGAGATGAGGTTCATTGGGCTGATGTCGTTGCGTCTCCTCTTGGTTTTCCGTATTTCTCTCTCTCTTCATGATTTATTGTTTTTGAGCCTGTTTGGTTGTGATTTGCTTTCTATTTTTTTGTTTTCATTTTTCAAAACAATCAGAAAATTTGATTGGTGACTGTTTTCAAGCAAATTTTTTAAAAACAACCCATCATTTGTTGGAGTTTATATCACTAGTTTCTCCTTCCGTACTTCCTTCTTTGTCCTCTTTAATTTTATTAGTTCATGAGATTATATATGTCAATTAAAATAATCCTATGAACCAATAAGATTCAAAGGGACAAAGATAGGAGCATGGAAGCCAATGAGTAATATTGATTTGCTTTTTAGAGGTTGTTTTGGTTGTGATTTGTTTTTATTTTCCAAAATAATTATAAAAAGAAAATACCCTATTTTCCAAGAAGAGTTCGGCTATGCAAAAATCATTTTCTACACCTTACTCACAATGGGAGTGAATCCGACATCATCAATGGGTAGGATTCTCCTCCTGAAGGCGACACTCCTCCTAAAGCTCAACATATTAAAAACGCAGAAAATGCACATAAAAAGTATAATAATGTGCAGTTGGGATTCATTTTAAGCATTAAGTGGATTATGCTTAAAACAAACCTAAACCACACAATGCATTTTCTATAATATTTTTTTTAAAAAAAAAAATTGTGCATGTAACATTGCGTTGAATAAACGTTCATGCATGTACTAATAATTATATAAACATAAACATGCATGCATACTGCTATGAGAAGATTTCATTAATGTAAGCTGTGGTTGTGGTTGAATTCGTTCATGACGAATTCAGGACAATTCTATTTAGTGATAAATGCATAGTAGAGTATTAATTATTTGTATTGAGTAATTGAGAAACATGAGGGGACATAATAAATGATTATTAGTGAGGGAGTATAATCACGTGATACTCCGGGACTATTGCATAATTTTTCCTTCATATATATATACTAGTATGAAGTAGAAATTGCACTTAAGAAGATGAAATCAAATAAGGCTTTAGGACCTGATGATATCCCTATTGAAGCTTGGAAGTGTTTGGGTAAAAAGGGAGTTGCTTGGTTGACTAGGTTGTTTAGCAAAATTTTGTTGACTAGGAACATGCCAGATGAGTGGAGGAAGTGTATTTTAGTGCCAATCTATAAGAATAAAGGTGATGTCCAGAATTGTAACAACTATAGAGGAATTAAGCTAATGTGTCATATAATGAAAGTGTGGGGAGGGTGCATGCGAACGCCGATTGCGAGACATAACAGAGGTGTCAGAGAATAATTTGGGTTTATGCCTGGTAGGTCAACAATGGAAGCGATCTATCTTTTGAGGAGAGTTATAGAAAAGTATAAAGAAAAGAAAAAGAGACATTCATATGATTTTATCGACCTTGAGAAAGCATATGACAGAGTGCCCCGAGATATAATATGGTGGCGTTAGAGAAGAAGGGGTGACAAAAGGCTACACTGACGTGATTAGGGACATGTATGAAGGGGTGGTGACCACTATTAGATGCCAGCTGGAAAACAAATGAATTTCCTATCACTGTAGGTTACAACCAAGGATCTACCTTAAGTCCTTATCTTTTTGCTTTAGTTATGGACGAGTTGACGATAAATATTCAGGATGACGTGCCAGTGTATGCTTTTTGCAGACGATTTGTGTTAGTGGATGAGACTAGAGAAGGAGTTAACACAAAGTGTGGAGATTTGAGAAAAGCTCTTGAATCTAAAGGTTTCGGATAAGCAGAACTAAGACAGAGTACATGGGTGTAAATTTAGTAACAGTAACAATGAAAGCAGAGGAGAAGTGAAGATTGAGAACCAAGAACTGCCTAAGAGTGAATATTTTCGTTATTAGGGTCGATTATCACAACAGCGGGAGAGATTGATGCAGATGTGGCCCATAGGATTAAGGCGGGATGGTGTAAGTGGAGAAGTGCGTCTGGGGTATTGTGCGATAAACGAATACCCACTAGACTAAAAGGTAAGTTCTATAGAACGGCTATTAGACCAGCTATGTTGTATGGGACGGAGTATTGGGCAACCAAGAAACAACATGTAGATAAGATGAGTGTGGCTGAGATGAGAATGCTAAGGTGGATGTGTGGTAAGACTAGACAGGACAGGATTAGGGATGAGTGTATTCGGGAATGGGTAGGAGTAGCACCGATAGAAGATAAGTTGAGAGAGAATCGTTTGAGATGGTTTGGTCATATTCAACGGAGACCAACAGAGGCAGTAGTGAAGAGATGCGATGCTGTAACGATAGATGGAAGTGTTAGGGGACGAGGTAGACCTAGATTAACGTTGACTAGCGTTATAAATAAATATATGAATCTACTTAATTTGACTAATGAAATAGCCTTTGATAGGGCCGAGTGGAGAAGAATGATTCATGTAGCCGACCCCATTTAATGGGACTTAAGGCTTGGTTTGGTTTGGTTATATATATACTAGTATATGTCTGTGCTTGAAAGCACGGTATAAATAAAATAAGTGAATAAAAAGGGAAAAATAAAAAAAATAGGGAGGAAAATAAAAAAAAAAGGGGGGGGAAATAAAAAAATAAAAAGGAAATAGGAAGGAAGGTGGGCTGGAGAGAGAATACATGAGTGAATAAAAATGGGGAAAAAGATAGAAGGCGGGTGAGTAGGTAGGAGAGGGAGGGAGAGAGAGAATGCATGAGTGAACAAAAAGGGAAGAAAAAGAAGGGAAAATAAAAAAATAGGGAGGAAAATAAAAAAAAAAAGGAAAAAATAAAAAAATAAAAAGGAAAGAGTAAGGAAGGCAAGCTGGAGAGAGAGAATACATGAGTGAATAAAAATGGGGGAAAAGATAGAAGGCGGGTGAATAGGTAGGAGAGAGAGAGAGAATGCATGAGTGAACAAAAGAGGGAGACAAAGAAGGCAAATGAGTGAAAATTAAAGAAATCTTGACTCTAGGATGAATTTGAAAATTAATCTCAACCATTGATACAAAATGAATCTTAGACATTTTGACACATTTTCAAATATAATCCTATTATCCTACTTTATTATATATATAACCCATCTGTAACTATTATATGCCAGAAAAATCATATTTGTGAATGAGATACCTAAGATGAACAAAACTGGAAGAAACAAAATAGAATAGAGATGATTTTTGTTCATCCATAGACATCTACTCCTCCTGGAGATGGAGATAAACGGGTGGGTGAAATGGATGAGCAAACAGTCGCTCCCTATGTTCACTCCCTAATTTTTAGACCAACCTGCTATAATAATTCCATAGACATCTAGCAAAGATACAGCAAACACAAACTGTGAAATTTCACTGTTTAGAATGCCAACCAGCCTTGGCGGTCCTGACAAATTAATAAGGTACAGGCTGCCAAAACGTGCATTACTCCGGACAATAATCAAAATAAGAATACCAAAGTATAGTTACAACAGCTTTAGCAAACAGATTGAATTAACACTCATTGAGCAACAGCTTTCTCTTACGCAGAACAACATAGTGGCAAACCTAAAGATTTCAAACAGCAGTGGAGAAGAGAAGAACACAAAATGTTTTATCGTTGATCATTGATAATTCAAATTTCCCCATTTTTGTGTCTTAATGTAACCATAAACAAGGAATATTTTCCACAACAGTAACGGGTCTACGGACGGTTTTCAATTCACAAATTTCAACAAATAAAACCAGTTTCAACATTAAGGGTAGAACAACCTAGTTTCAGAGAAAGATTTTGCCTCTCATTCTGTAATATTCTCGTTTTCCAATTACTCAACTTCCTCCAGGTAATCAGCAATTTCAGATGGTGTCAGTACTCTGCAATGGAAACAAACATGCCAGAATAATCATTCTCCGAGCATCAACATCGAAATGATCATAAAAATACAGTCAAACACTCAAACACCAGGAAAAAGGATAACTTGCCTGAATTTTTTATCAGTGCCAACTATGCCAATCTCAATGTTCTTTTCAGAGATCTGTCCTTCAAATCTGGGACAAATATGCAAAAAGAGAAGTTATATTCTTCATTAGTTGATGAGCTAAGCATGCACTAGTGGGACCAAATACCAAAACATTCCTCTATGGAAGGGTCATGACAGGACAAGCTCAAAGCTAGCATGAATTTTAGATTTATTTAGAATGGTACATCTTTTAATACAAGTGATTGTTATTTGGACAACATAATTCTTACCCCTCCTTTAAAGTCAAGATTGCTGTGTGGACAGCATCATCGAGCTCCATATCATCTGTGTACCTGTAAGAAGCACCTTGATTAACTCCAAATCATGAATGGAGACTTGGAACTGGTTCCAGAAAACTAAAAGAATTGAAACACCGACAATCAACAGAATTATTAAAAACTGACTAATTCTATGAAGCATGACACTTCAAAATAGCAATGTTGGACACAAGGAGACGTGCCGGACACATACGGGGCGTGTCCTATTTTGTTTTTTGTTTTTTTTTTGGTATGGGACACGGCAGGACACGGCAGTAAGAAGAAAGAGAAGAAGAGATCCAAAATCAGAAGAAAAGAAAGAAAGAAAGAAGAGAAAAGGAAACTCGTTCATCGAGTGAAGTCCTCAATCAATCTCCATCTCAATCTCCATTGAGCTCCATCTCAATCGATCTCCATCACCGAACGACCTGGTAAGTAGTAAAGCTCTCGTCTCTGTCTCTCTTCTCTCTCAATCGATCTCCATCTCTCTCTGTCTCACCTCTCTCTGCTCTCTTCTCTCTATTTCACCTCTCACCTTTCTCTCGTCTCTTTGTCCTCTCTCTCTGGTCTATCTCGTTTCTCTCTCTTCTCTATTGATCAGATATTTTTATTTATATATATATATATTATATTTTAGTTTACATATATTATATCTCTTCTCTTTGTCTTCTTTCTTCTTTTTTTATTTATTTATTTTATGATTAGATATTTATATATATATATATATATATGTATATTTTAATTTAATTCTTTCTTTATAAATTTATTTTTATTATATATTTGATTTTTTCTTTATATAATGTTTACAATATATAGAACATATGTTTATAATGTTTAAATGTAATTGTCTTTATATACACATTAAATTAATATTAGTTTTTATTAATTTTGATTGTTTGGTAATATAAAATTAATCTACATAGCAAATACGTAACATATATATTTAAATAATAATAATAATTTGCCGTGTCCCCCGCCGTGTCCGTGTCTCCATTTTTTTGAAATCTCTGTCTCCCGTGTTCGTGTCCGTGCTTCATAAGATTAATTACTATTACTACATAAGTTGCATTGCACCACTTGGAAGTACTTCACAATTACAAACATTGAAGGGGGAAGACCATTTTAGCCCTTAACCAGAAGGGTTTCAGTTCAAATCTAATTTTGGCAAAGATTAGCTCAGCCATATGGAATGCACAAATCATCCTATAAGATCTCAGCCAACCACAAAGCAAAACAAACCAAAAAAAAAACCTCTAAGAAGTATACTCATTTCAGCACAAAAGAAAAACTAGCAAATCCCAGAGTTTTTAAGTTCCCTTTGTCTAGTTATTGTTTCATGAAGTTTCACGGATTTGACAAAGTGAAGTTGGACATAATACAATGACCATTTGCCAGCAAGCAAGAACTAAAACAGCATGCAAAGATTTTGTCAAAGCTTATGGTCATATGGAGAGGAAGACAACAAAGCACAAAGGGTAAAAAAAAAAATCATGCTGAAAGCTCAGCTAAAACTAGCATTAAATAAGATAAGATGAAAGAAGGTGATGTACTACCCTAACATCCAACAAAACAGCCAAACATTCAAGATATTTTTTTCATTTTACTAATAGAAACTGACCAGCTAACAGAAAACATTTATGCAGAAATTTGCAAGCAACAAAATTAACTCACCTCTTCTCAAGGAATGTCTTTGCATTAGACACATTCTTTCCCATAGCCGAGGCTTTCCAAGAGAAGTATGAACCTGATGGATCCACCTACAACACAAATTTACACCCTCAAACAACAAACAAGCCTGAAGAATCAATTTTTAGTAGAGACCTAAAGAATTTAATAATGTGTGTTACAGTATAGTTGCATAAGCATATTGTGTTAAGAGTTTTCAGGCAAGTGTTTCAAAATTGCACAAAATCGACCTTTTTCACATTAGCATAGTCCTGAAAGGTGTTCAAGATAAAATAATGCAAAAAAAGGGACTTCGATCGAAGCACGCATGAAGGCCACTCATGCAGGCCACAAGGGTTCTGGAAAGATTGTCCAGTAGGACCCACTGCTCCAATTTCCTAACACTATGTTTGGGAAACTAGGAGAGAAAAGAAAAGAAAGGATTACTTAAGTAATAAGAGAAAAGAAAAGAAAAGAAATGATTGTGATTTCTCTCCTTTTTGTTTAGATAAGGAAAAAATAAAAGAAAATAATTTCTCTCATTCTTGTTTGGTTAGATTTCATTAAGAGAAAAGAAAAAAAATTATTTTATGTTATATTACCAAAATAACCTTTTTATATTTTCAATCATTATATTTTTTTTATTTTTATAGGGACAAAATTGGTATTATGAAAATAGTGGTTTCTTTTCTCTCCCAATCTCTCAACTTCTGGGAAATGAGAAATGAGTCTCTCCATTTCTCTCCATTTCTTCTCATTTCTCTCTACTTAGGTTATCCAAACAAATAAGAGAAATACATATCACTCCATTTCTTTTCTTTTCTCTCCAAATCACTCAATCCAAACATAGCGTAAAAGTCTATAAGCCCCTATTCGATGTGTGCTCAATTTATGTGAAACTTATAGATAGCAACTTGGTTTCTTCTATACAAACTCTTGATACTTTAAAAAGAGAAACCTTATCATTTTGCTTGGTTAGAGTTTTCCAAAAATACTTTTCAGAAAATTCTACTTTCTTGTTTTTCGTGTTTTTTTATTTTTACTGAATTTTTTTAATATTTTAAACAATTTTTTTTTTTTAATTTTTAGACATACCTAACATAAATATAGCTAAAAAGGAAAAAAATTGTAAAAAAAACCTTTTAAAAATTCACTAAATACCAAAAATACAAAAAAATACGAGAATTCAATATATTTTTTGTATTTTTATGTATTTATTAATTTTTTAAAATATTTTTTAACAAATTTTTTACTTTTTAGATACATCTACATAAGGTGCATCTAAAAAAGTAAAAAAAATGTTTAAATTTTTAAAAATATTCACTAAAAACAAAAAAAACGAAAACCAAAAAACTCAATTTTCAAAAAACTTAATTCAAAAAACTCAAACCAAACACACTGTACGTTTTTTGGAGATAAAAGATTTTTACAAAACCCATCTTTTTCAATCATTGAAACCAAGCTTTATGATTTTCTAAACACTTAGTCAGTTTCATGATAAGTATTTTTTATCAAAACAAGCACAAAGTCGCACTGCATACCTACCCATTGGTCGTTTCAGTAACTGGGCCACAAGGACCACGGATCGGAGTGAGAAGTTTTGTGAATTGCTATAAGATCAAGAGGAGATTGTTAGGTTTCATAGCCACAAGGTGAATTGATGATGGATTTTATCTGACTTGGTGTGCCCATAGGTTTCTCCCTATGAAGCACGGGTACTCCAAAAATAGTGCCGTACACGCACCGGGTACTTACCGGGTGCGGGTGCGGGTACCAGTACGGCTGCACGCGTACCGGTACGGCTGCACGCGTACCGGGTACGGCAAAAACCAGTTGGGTACGTCTGCCTCAGTTGGGTACGTCATGGGTACGGCTTAGGTACGGCATAGGTACGTTTTCGGTACGTTTTGGGTACGTCCGGGGCAGAAATCAAATTTTTTGAAAAATTGAGGGGTACCGGAGCAATATTAAAAAAAATTTAAAAAAAAAAAAAAAAAAAAAATGTGTATACCTGCGAATGCCCTAATCTCATCACTGTTTGGCATCTCATCGAAGCAAAGCAAACAGAGGCGACTTCGACCATCTTCATTTTCCTCTTCTGTGACTTCGAACAGTGATTCGACTTCGACTCTCACCCTCATCTTCAACCCTCACCCTCGTCTGCGACTTCGAAACAGATCAACTTCGACCCTCACTCACCCTCGTCTTCGACTTCGACCCAGAGATTCGACCCTCGTCTTCGACTTCGACCCTCGGCTTCAACTTCGACGCAGAGATCAGAACACCCTCCTCATCACTGTTTTGCACTAATCTCCTCTCCTCTTCGACGCAGAGATCAGACTCAGAGGTATACGTATATATCTCTGAATATTTTTTTTTTTTTCTTATTTCGTCTTTAGTTATTATTATTAATACTGAAAATGCTAATAAATATTAATAATAAATATTAGAGATGAAAATGCTAATAATCATAAATGGTAATAATCATAAATATTATTATTAGTTATTAATAATAAAAAATTAGAGATGAAAATGCAGGTTTGTAGGTTATTAATATTAGTTATTAATATTATTATTAGTTATTTTTTTATTTAACTTCAATTTGTAGGTTGGATCTTTTAACCATAATTATAAAAAATAAAAAAAAAATCGGCGTACCGCAGCCGTACCCGTACCCTACTTTTTTGGGGTTTTGCCGTATCGGCGTACCCGTACTCGTACCCGTACCGTACTCGTACCCGCACCCGTGCTTCATAGGTTTCTCCGTTCTCAAGGGCTTTCCACATAAATCATGTCTATTTATTTTACATGCAATTCGTGTGTGGTTGCAATTGTGATTAATAGCATAATTAAAAGTTAGCACATTGATCTATTTGTTAATTTTTAATTGGTATTCACTCCCTTTTAGGCACAAACAAGTCCCTCCCCTCCCAACAATTTCAGTGTGCCACTTAAAATTACTAGTACTCACGATATAAAAACTGGTTTATGTGAAGGCATGTAATAGGAGCTGCATAAATCAATCTTGACAACTCTACTTGATTTATCGATGAATATTCTCTGTATGGGTACAGAGCATGCAGGACCAAACAGAATAACTGCAACCAATCAAGGGACAGCACTCAAAATTGGTGGGGGTTTTTTTTTTCTTGGTGTGTTTTGGGGTGCTAATGAAAACCACTAAATCTTAACCTGCGATATGATAAAGATATTTTTACAAGTGTCATCACTAACATATAATACTTCTCCACAACTCCTTTAAAAAGAAAAAAGAGTACTAACTGGTTAGCGAGAATATGACCCCAGCTGAAGAGGAATAAAAACTTGTTTGTATAAGTAGATCTTAAACTTTTATAGCAAAGAAGGTAATCCAACCACAAATGGAAATGAATGAATCAACTAGGCAACTCGCAACACAATTAAGGTCAGTACCAAGTGAGGACCTAAATGACATACCTGATATAGTTGTGGACCCTTGTCATCAAAGCCAGCAACCAGCAGTGAAACACCAAAAGGCCTTACACCACTGCATAGGAAACAGAAGGGTAAGAAATTGCAACAAAAATAAGCATATGCAAAAGCCAAGATCAAACCCATGGTATACAAAAAATAATAGAAGAGGAAAAGAAAATTAAATATATATATATGAAGGCACAGACCACAGGTCCATTTTGACTATGAAAAGGTCAAATACACAAAAATCAGCTTAATCTAGCTTCAAAAACCTTCAACCTAAATTTTTGCTTTCAAGTTTTTCTTCTGAACTCCAAAGAGTTCTGCAAAAAGAATGGAGTATTGTTCGTTTTCCAAGGATCACAAAGTTAACTTTCTAATTTGCTACATATACATTTCCTCAAAATATACATTTTTTCCCTTTTGATCAAGCAAGACACTTAGCACACCGCCAGCCTTATTTCTCTGCAAAAGTTACCTCCTAGCACTCCAAGGTTTTCATGGATCATAAGGTTACGTCCTAAAATTCTTTTTTGATAAGAATTACCTCTCAAATTCTTGCTGCATTTATTCAAAATAATTTTTTTTTCTTCTTCTTTTGATCAAAAAACTGCCTAGCACACACCCAACCTTCACGTGGTATGTAATTGGTCTCTCAACTTCAATATCAGAGTAATTTATCACATCTTAACTGGTGTGCTGGCCAGTGATGAGTTAGGCCGAAACCATTGTCAACAAACTGTTATTTTTCTTGCAACCAGCAGGGTAAATAAACCCCTGCAAAGCCTGACCTCTTTCCACAAATATACCTTAATACTAACAATACAATTTAAATTTTTCTATAAGGGACACCCAGCGGCTTAGTTCGCATTCCCCCAATAAAGAGACTCAAGTTCGAGTCTCTGTACCTTACCTATCCAAAAAAATTAAATTAAATTCAACATACAACTGGATTGAAATAATAAAACCTTGTCTGTCAGGCAAATGCACGTAAACAATAGTCAAGATTCCTGGCCAAAAAGACAAACAACATGAGATGTAAACTGATAGAAAGCACTTACCCTGACTGTGTGAACTCCTGCATAACACCGGCAGTTTCCCTTACAAGTTGAGTGACAGGAATTGGTTCCTACACATTACTATCATCAGATCACATTGCAAGTTATAGTAGCTATAAAAGCTGTAATATTTTACAACAACAAAATACAGATAGCATAAACATAATAGAGGATTAAGTTGTGATTTCCGAAATGAATTCGTAGGGGTACGTCAAGTATCCAAGGTCACATTGAGCAACATCTAAATAACATGAACCATTACTAACATATACTTGCCCATTTGAGAAACTACAAAAGTGTGACCTTCAAGAAGAGCTGCACACTAGTAAGAAGACGAAACTCACTGTACACGTGCACCACCTTCTTAGACCAATTTTTAACCTAACATTCTCATTCTCATTCTCACCAAAAGTAATAAACAAAATCATGCAATGAGATGCAGAAAAGGAAATTCCTTTTTGAGAAGCCGATAAATAAAATTAGAGAAGCTAATTTGGCCTTCATTAAACACTCAAATTTTGTTAGAAAAAATTAAAATTACTTTGAAAGACTGCTCTGGAAACAAGGGTAAGTAACAATTGATGTGGCAAACAAGTATTTTCACTTCTCCCCAAGATTCCAGCCACCCATGCATGTTAATTGTAGGGGTGAAAGAATAACCGGAAGGACCGACCAAACCGACCAAACCGACCAAACCGAACGGTTTTCGGTCAATGTTTTAAGTTTTCAATCGTTCGGTTCGGTTTGGTTTTTTTTTTCTGTACATTCGGTTCGGTTTATGATTTTTGATTTTTTGAACCAAACCGCACCGAACCGAACCGAACCGAACCGACTTATATAATATTAAGGCCCCGTTTGTTTGGAGTTATAGGAAGGGGATTGGGATTACTAATCCCTTGGTATTACTAGTGGGGTGCTTGTTTTGAGAGATGGGGAGGGGACTATTAATCCCTTGGTATTAGTAGTCCCCTTAGAAGGGGGATTGGTAAGGAGGAGGTAGAAATGGTATTAGAAAAATAGTGAGGGGATTAGAATTTTTTTTATTTTTTTATTTTTTATATATTGGGAATTTTTTTTTAAATATAATGTTTAATTTTTTATATTTTTTTATTTGTTTTATTATTTTATATAAAAATAATTTAACAATTCCTCACTATTAATCCCTTCACTATCAATCCCCTCACTATTAATTCCCTCACTATCAATCCCCTTAATTCTATCTCTGAAAACAAACGGGACCTAATAGTCTTAAAATCCTAGCCAAAATGAGAGGCCCCAAACTTATGCAAGAATTACATGGCTTTAGGCCCAAATTTTATGCAAATGGATAAGAATATAGGCCCAAAATATGAGGCCTAAACCTATGCAGGAATTACATGGCTTGAGGCCTAAATTTTATGCAAATGGATAAAAATATAGGCCCAAAATGTGAGGCTCCAAACCTATGCAGGAATTACATAGCCTGAGGCCCAAATTTTATGCAAAATGGATAGAAATATAGGCCAAAAATGTGAGGTCCAACCAGCAAAAAAAAAAAAAAAAAAACACCGAAAAACCGAAAAAACCGCACCGCACCGGTTTATGTCATTTTTCTGGGCGGTTCGGTTCACAAATATGCAAAACCGAAATTACTGGTTCAGTGCAAAACTAGTGAAAAAACCGACCGAACCGAACCAATTTCACCCCTAGTTAATTGTGATATCACAAGAAATACATAATGATGTGGGATAAATTCACGAGAGATATTAGAAGAAAATAATATCTTGAAAATCTAACTTCTAGAACTAGTTATACAGCTAAATTCAACAGCGACAGGAAACAATGGGCTTGTTTGGTTTGTATCTCAAGATACAATTTTTGAGAAAATTTTGTTTGGTTCAAATTTTTTGAATTTTTTTTTTAAAATCACTCACTCTTCTACACATCAATCAATCATTTTTTCTCTCTCCTCTCTCCTTCTCAATCACTTTTTTTCTCACACACATCTACTCAACTACAACAAAATATCAAATCATTCCAAACTCCAAAACTATCTTCAAAATATACAACCAAACAAACCAAAAAAAAATTTAAACTCTCTCCAAAACCAAAATTTTTTTTGAAAATTTATTTCAAAAAACAAACCAAACATACCCAATAACAATAAAAATAAATAAAAAACCGGCAAGTAGAAAAAACGAACAACATAACAAAAAAGAAATTTTACTTTGTATAATCGGTGATATCGTTCTGCCTGCTTCCTACTTTTTCGAACCAAAACCCGAGAATCAGGACCCATGCCGCTGCATAAGAGAAGAAAATCAACTGAGAGATATACAAGTTGCTGTGGAAAATAAATGAAACAAAACAGAAAGAATACGAGCAGAGACAAAGCAAAAAGAATACATGCGAAGAAAATAATTATGACATCAAGGCAATGTTTGATCATCATACAGTGAAGACTCCATTCAGACTAGGCTAGAAAGATGACTACATGTCGAATTTTCAATAAAGCACAATTCAATTGAAGTCGCTATATATGGATTCACCAATTACTAAGCGATCAACCTCTGACTGCATTAGATATTTTGAAGGGTAAAATACCATAGTGCATCTCCATCTCATGAAATCATTCCAGGAGGGCCGTCTCAAAAAGATATAAATATGGTAAATTATAAAGAACTGCCACTTGGGCATCTGAGACTAATTAGAGAACCAACTGCTCAATCGCTCAAAGACTTATTTTAAAGTTCAAGACCTTAATAAACTTCACTATCAGCATGCATTCGTGCCTTTTCCACAATTTTTTGTTTCAAGATAACTTTAAGCTACGATATTATGCAGTGTTGGGGCAGTGGAATCAACAAGATGATATAAGCATTAAATATTTAAACCTGTATACAACTCCAATATTGGGGGTCAATATCTGAATCTTTTGCACCTGCAATCCAACAAATCCAAGAATTATAGCAAGCCCCACTTATTTATCTTTGATACAAAAGAAACTCAAGAAAAGATGGAACGAAAACATCAAATGCTTCAAAAATCATCAACCAATCGGGCAATGCACACAAAATAGTGAAGTGCCAACCCGAATATTACAAAAAAAAAAGTAAGATAAAAATGAAATAAAATGAAAATTTCATATCTAACAACCATAATGGGTTTCTTCAATCCTTTTTTTTTTTCTCCTATAGATGACCTAACAAAAGCAGACAACAATACGATATGGATATGCATAATTGAGTAATCGATTTCAATTTAATGCATAAAGCAGGAACAACAGGTCTCCAGACTGCACTGTTCCATTAATATAAAGAGATGGAGAAGAAAAGAAAGAAAAATGTCAAACATACAAAAAGCGTAAAACTACAATTTAGGTGGCCAAAATAACCAACAAAATTAGATGCAAAGCTCTTGAACCTCCTCTTTCTGTAAAAGGCATATAGGCGTCAATTTAAGGGAGTTGATATTTTGTAGGACAAAAGGATGAAAAGGAAAAACAAAACCTTATAGAAACATTAAACTTTAGAGGGAAAATGGTCCGATAAAAGTTGAAGCCACAAATCTTAAGACTTTCTTCCACAACTTCACAAGACTGCATATCACTGCATCCCCGTACGCATAAACATCACATTCATGCTTCAGTCACATTAAAGGATGCATGAAAAAGGAAAATTCATGGAAATTATTGCTTGCATCGATTGTCTTTTGACCTTGGTAAAGATTGGCAGATGTATCTGTGTTTACAGGCATATAGAAATACGGATAGCTGAGCTATGGCAAGGATATTGAATACCTTTGAACAATTTGCAATGGTGAGGAACTGAGGATGACAATTGTATCTGTCATCCAAGAAAAAATATCTAGCACACTAAATATTCATGAAGGCACACATCAAGAGAAACATGGAGGGGAAAAGTGACCATAGATGAGGCTGATTTACAATTTTAAAAACATAAATAAAAGAAAACTATGCAAAACAAACAAAGTCGTGTGCTAGAACTAGCAACCTAGAGCCATGGTAAAAAGTATATACTAACCGATGCTTCATCAACCAAGATAGATGGTAGCTTCTTCTCTGTTGCAATAACCACACCATTAGCAGCTGCAAACACCAAAACAAGTAAAATATATCAAAAAGAACTCATCACAACAACATGAACAGCTCTAGTGATTATGTATTGCTTGTCAATAGAACACAAACAAAACAGCATGTATCTCAGAATTCAAGTTTTATTTTGCAAATTGCAACACTCTTTGTCAATCAAAAAAATAAATAAATTAAAAAAAAAAAAAAAATTAACATCCAAGTGAAAAGGAATATTGTATACAACCACATAATATTATGTGGATATAGTAGGTCTCGTATTACCTTTAATCCCTAAAGACGTTTGACCAGATCCAACGGCTGTTAAGGCATGTTCGATTTGAACAAGCTTTCCAGAAGGGCTGTTCCAAAGTGTATCATTGGTAAGAAAAAACAAATTATTAGGGTTAGGAAAGGCACATAAATATATGAATGCGTGAAACTTTTTCTAGTAAGGATGTAGAAAATTGTCTGCAAAAATAGAAATAAGTGAGTCCATACCTAAATGTGGTTAGAGAGAATGAGTACTGACTATCTCCCATGATGTGTTGGGTGGAAGGAGCGGAAACAACCTTGTAGAATCAACTGTTTAAATAAGAACGTGGCGACATCACCTTCTTGGAAACAACAAAAATGCTCGGATGCAAACACGAGATCAAACATGCACATGGAGATGAATCCAGACAGGTTTAACAAATGTTTTTCCTCTTTTGGTAACCAATGAGAACTGATATGATGCATAAAATTAATTCTGATTCCATCAACTCCTTTTAAGTTTATGCAACAATTATTAGATAAGTATGGTTACATTTCTTGCATTACCTTCCAGTTTAAAACAAAACCCATCAAAAGAAATAAAATAACAACACAGAAACCTCATAGTTCACAAGGATATGCAATATTACAAATCCAATGAAGACCCAACAAAACCTTAAGCTCGATCTACAAAACCCACAAAACTTTAAGAAGTAAAAACAAAGTGTTATGAAATGAATCAAAACTGTTTACCATTACACGCACCTCCTCAAAGAGGCACAAAATGTACAACCGTAAGTTAAAATGCGTTACAAAAACTACATAAATTAGGGCACAGATTCTTCCATTAAAATGCGTTAAAGAAACAGGAGAGAGAGAGAGAGAGAGAGAGAGAGAGAGGACTCACCGGACACCGTAGAAGATCACAGTCGACGCCGGCTTCAATTCGCTGCGTACGCCGTATTCGATTGGGGAAGAAGAAAAGGCTCTATTGATTGTCGTCGATCGACTGATGAGAGAGAGAAAGAAAAATATTTGCAATTTGCTCCTACAGTTTATGTAATTTCAATTTGAACCCGGAATTTTTTTGAGGTCAGATCCTCTAGAGTGGATGTCGCTGATGTTGTCACGACCCCAAACCGCCCCTAGTAGTTTGATGCCGTGATGGCCAGTAATCCGTAATTACCGAAGGCCAACTTTTCCAAAAACTTAACACAATCAGAGTATGGATATAGGGGGCTCACAATGTGGAAGCAATTAAATCAAATACAAGTGGTCCATAAGAGCTGTGCGTAGATCAAAGCAATGCCAAACATTCCAGATAACTTTACAACTTGAATACAACAGCGTAAAAATACATGTTACATCTTGATCAAAAGGCTTCTCGAGCCGACATAAACAAAAGTACAGCTAATACAAGTCAAGAAGCATGATTTTCAAGATTTGCCGACATGCAAAACAGGGCACCGCCGACGTAAATAAAAAAGTAAAGCCGACATAAGTACAAATCCAAAACAAGCATCCAAACGATCTAGGCGTCGCCGCCGTCCTGCTCATCACCTACATATATATAGAGGGGTGAGTACAAATACTCAGTGAATGGTACTAATAATAAAGGTTTTGCATGAATATAGCCGAGGTCCTTCAAAACGAAACACATCAAACTTTAGCAAGACGAGGGATGAACCGTATTCATCAATCAAATATTACAAGTATCCAAAGATGTTTACTGACATAGGCAAAACAAGGAATGAACCGTATTCATCATTCAAGTATCAAGGGCTGTACGATCCGTAATCGTTTGGTCAAAAGTATTGCGAAAGTTTAGAGTCCTCCAATACAAGGGACTTGTGCACTTGGTACCGCGAAAGTTTAGAGTCCTCCAGTACAAGGGACTTGTGTTACTTAGGCCCGTAGCCCGATTTAACAAGGACCATATCCTTTTGTACTCAGTACTGCGAAAGTTTAGAGTCCTCCAGCACAAGGGACTTTCCGAGGATAACAATCAAAACAAGGCTATTTATTCATGCTTAGCAAATACCCACGTCAAAACAAACAAAACAAGATTTATCAAAAGCAAGTGTAACATAGCTTTATTAGAAATACCACTCACCTAGTTCTTCAGGTGTAGACTCAAAGCAAATATCAAAGACCTACAATCACATGGCAAATCACATTCTCAAAACAAGCTTTATATGTATGCAAATGATCTCGGCAATCTCACCAGATCCAAGTCAAAGACAAGGCAGAACAAGCTGGGAGTTTAACCACCGCTCCCGTTTTCATGAAAACACACTGGGTACCGTCCAGGTCTTTGCCGAGGTCCCACACCACCTTGCCGAGGTGTGGTCCGCTGGCCTTAACCAAAAACAAAGTCGGAGAAACCTGGCTTCTCCTTTGGAGAATATGAAGAACATGATCATTGAAAGATGGATGCAAGCTCACAACTTGTTACAAAAATCAGAGTTTCATGCCAAGAGTTCAAAATAGGGACCTAAGTACCCATTCAAGAAGGTCATGCAAGAACAAACACAAAACATGATTTTCGTTCCAAACTCTTCGATCAAAATGGGACTTTGTTCAAGAACACATGAAAAACCATTTTCTCTTTCTAAAACCAACTTCAAAACGATGCATGACATGCAAAACAAATCCGATCATGCAATGCAGCTAGGTATTCAGTAAGAACAATCAAAGGAGATCAAGATTCTAACCTCAAAACTCGGATCCAACGGTTCAAACAACGAAGATCAAGCTTGGGAGACTTACTCTCACTCAAGAACTTCTCTAGAGCTTCTCTCTCTAACATCGGCAAAGAGATGACATCGGCTCAAATCAAGGATTCAGCAACAGGATAGAAAACATCGGCTAGGGAGGACGACACTTGACTAAGCTGTGCCACACCTTGGCCGGGGTGTGCCACATCTCGGCCTAGGCCATACCTGCCCAAGGACAAGGTTCACTAAGTGCGAAGCATCTCGGCAATGAATGCCCGAGGTGAAGATGGGGTTGAACAAGATCTCAAAATAGTTCTAAGTACAAGGTTCAAAGGCGGACTAAGCTCAAGATGACCTCGGCTACGCACACACCGAACAAGGGACAAGATCACGCAAGTAATACTAACAAAACAAGGTAAACAAATCCTTCCATTTAACATAATAAAGCAAGACCATGCAAGAATGTATGCAAGTATGACAAGAGTAAGGTGAGGGTTGTTACAGATGTAGTTCTATAACGACGTCGTTTTTGTCATGAACACAGAGGGAGAGAGACCTGCCATAGAAGGCAAGGAGGTGCAGGCTCTATTCATTGTGAAGGGGAAATAGTCATCAAAGAATCTCGACTAGCGACGGTGCCATTCGACGACTTTTAAACACTCTGAGCATTGAAGAGAAGCTCAAGTCCAACCCAACATGAAGAGAATCAACAATCTCAACAAAATACCAGAACCCACATCCCTAAAATCAACTATCCACTTACTTTGCGTCATGGGAAGATTACAAGATGCTCTAAAACTCATCTTCTCTAACCCAACCCACTCGGATTATTCTCTGTTTTCAAAAATTTTGCAGCTTTGCATCCACAGAAAAGCAAAAATGGAAGGTCGTTTCATTCACGGTCATCTTTTAACCAATGGGCTTCATTCAAATGCATATTTAAACACAAATTTAGTTATATTCTATTCAAAGCTCGGTGACATGGTTAACTCCCGTAAAGTGTTTGATAGAATGTCTGAGAGGAGTTTGGTCACTTGGACCGCGTTGGTATCTGGGTATTCTCAAAATGGCTACTCAAAGGAAGCTCCTGTGGTGTTTTCAGCAATGCATAGGATTGGTGTTAATCATTTCACTTAAGGGAGTGCTTTGGGGGCGTGTACGAGTGTGATGTGTTTGGACAGAGGGAAGCAAATTCAAGGATGTATTCAGAAGAGTAGACTCGTTAAGAACTTGTTTATGCAGAGTGCATTAGTTTATTTGCATTCCAAGTGCGGGAAAATGGAAGACGTGTGTTACATTTTTAAGTCGATGTCGGAGAGGGATGTGGTTTCTTGGAATGCCATGATAGGTGGGTATGCCATTCAGTGTTTTGCTGATGATGCCTTACAATTGCTCCCTTCAATGCTTCGAGCATGTGTTGTTATATACTCTCGAAAATGTAAGGTTGCATTTGGTGAAGTTTTTTAATTAATTAGTGCTATCACAAGGATGTGGAAGTGGATTTCACCATGAATGATTTGATGTTTTGGCCTTGGTGTTGTATTTTTTTTTTTATTGAGTGCCATGTCATTAGTGGTCTTTTTAGAGCTCCAAAATTAGTGGTATCTATCATTGTTGATTATAATTTGAGAGTATGAGCGGTATTGGGTTTGTGAGTTTTGAAATTATAATTTGAGCGTGGAAAATTAGTTTGGTGAAAGAGTTTTGAAAAGAGTTTTAAATTTGGGGGGTGAATTTTTGATATGACATATGATATTTGATATAAAAACTTACAACTCATAATCAAACATACAACTCAAAATTCTATTAAAACATATAAAAAATTTTAAAAATTCGAAAAATATTTTTTTCCAAATATATAAAAATTAACATATGTCAATTGTAAAAAAAAAAAAAAAATTTGCACTGTTCCGGTCAACTGGCCGGACGACTGGTGGAACGTCCGGTGGGACGACCAGTTAGTCCGAATTTTCACACCTTTGACAGAGTTTTCAAAACTAAGTGTGAAATTACATTTTAAAAACTCTAAACAAACGCCGTGTGTAAAATATGAGATAAAAATATATTTAAAGAGACTAACCAAACACCACCCAAAATTTTAAATTTTTATGCATGTGTCGGTTTTGCATTGTCCAATATTGGTTTGATTAAATATTACTTTTTACCTAAGTACTCACTGAAGAACACAAAATCAAAACATGTAAAAAATTTTATGCATGTGTCGGTTTTGCATTGTCCAATATTGGTTTGATTAAATATTACTTTTTACCTAAGTACTCACTCAAGAACACATAATCAAAACATGTAAAGGCGGTGTTCGGCCAGATTTGGTTTTGGGTTTTTTATTTTTATTTTTTTCGTTAAAAGACAAAATTTTTGCAAAATTAAAAAAAAAAAAATTCAAACAAAATATCACATCCAACTCCATAATCATTTTACTTTTTCTCTCACAAACATCACATTCAACCACAAAAAAAAACCCAACTATCTTTCCAAATACTAAAAAAATTTTATCCAATAATATTCTACAATTAAAAAAACTTACATAAAAACCCACTTCTCAAATACCCACAAAGTTATTCAGGTAGTTAGATGGTGTCATATGACATATTTCATAAGGTTGAGTATAATTTTGCTCCATAATCATTTTACTTTTTCTCTCACAAACATCACATTCAACCACAAAAAAAAAAATCAACTATCTTTCCAAATACTAAAAAAATTTTATCCAATAATATTCTACAATTAAAAAAACTTACATAAAAACCCACTTCTCAAATACCCACAAAGTTATTCAGGTAGTTAGATGGTGTCATATGACATATTTCATAAGGTTGAGTATAATTTTGAACTCATAGATTTGCAAAAATTAAAATGCTATATATGAATACAAGACTAGGGGGTTCAAAATGAACCGGAATAATAATATCTTGGGTAAATTACACTCACATCTCCTAAAATTTATATTTATTACAGTTCTTCTCTCATCTTTTGAAAATTACATCTTTCTCCCTGAGATTTAAAGTTTCATTACAGATTTCCCTTTCAACAATTTAATTTTTTTTAAATACCAATTTGGCCCTCACTGGGTAAATTACATTGACACCCCTCACATTTTAAAAATTACAATCCCCTCCCTAAAGTATAAATCAACATTACCAATTACTCCATTGGTTAGTATTAGTTGGAAAAAAAATTCATTGAAAAAAAATTTATTAGTAAAGTTTTTAAATTTCTGTTTAAAAACTAACGTAAACTCATTTTTTGAATTTACATTTTTCCTCAAATTTACAAACTGACACAATCATTTATAAACCAAAAAAATTATCAAACAAGTTTTTAT